GCAAGAATAGCTCAGCCATAGTTCAGCCTAAACTAGCTATACTTCCGCCATAGTTCCGCTATAGTTCAGATTTCCATTTAAATTCATAGTTCAGCCATAGTTCAGCCTTAACTAGCTATAGTTCAGCCTAAACTAGCTATACTTCAGCCATAGTTCAGTTTTCCTTTTAAATTCAAACTGCTATAGTTCAACCATAGTTCAGCCTAAACTAGATATAGTTCAGCCATAGTTCAGCCTAAACTAGCTATAGTTCAGCCTAAACTAGCTATAGTTCAGCCATAGGTCAGTTTCCCTTCTAAATTCAAATGGCTATAGTTCAGCCATAGTTCAGCCTAAACTAGCTATAGTTCAGCCATAGTTCATTTTCCTTTTAAATTCAAATTGCTATAGTTCAGCCATAGTTCATTTTTCCCTTTAAATTCAAATTGCTATAGTTCAGCCATAGTTCAGCCTAAACTAGCTATAGTTCAGCCTAAACTAGCTATAGTTCAGCCATAGTTCAGCCTTGCTTCTAAATTCAAATGGCTATAGTTCAGCCATAGTTCAGCCTAAACTAGCTATAGTTCAGCCATAGTTCAGTTTTCCTTTTAGATTCAAATGGCTATAGTTCAGCCATAGTTCAGCCTAAACTAGCTATAGTTCAGCCTAAACTAGCTATAGTTCAGCCATAGTTCATTTTTCCTTTTAAATTCAAATTGCTATAGTTCAGCCATAGTTCAGCCTCAACTAGCTATAGTTCAGCCTAATCTAGCTATAGTTCAGCCATAGTTCAGCCTCAACTAGCTATAGTTCAGCCTAAACCAGCTATACTTCAGCCATAGTTCAGCTTTCCTTCTACTAAATTCAAATGGGTGTAGTTCAGCCATAGTTCAGCCTAATCTAGCTATAGTTCAGCCTAAACTAGCTATAGTTCAGCCATAGTTCATTTTTCCTTTTAAATTCAAATTGCTATAGTTCAGCCATAGTTCAGCCATAGTTCAGCCTCAACTAGCTATAGTTCAGCCTAAACTAGCAATAGTTCATCCACAGTTCAGCCTAAACCAGCTATACTTCAGCCATAGTTCAGCTTTCCTTCTACTAAATTCAAATGGGTATAGTTCAGCCATAGTTCAGCCTAAACTAGCTATAGTTCAGTCCATGTATAAAACGAATATGGCCAGGTATGCCATTCCTTAAACGAGAACATCAGAAAAGAATTCGCATCATATGTGATTGTTCAAGCTGATGTTTACAAGCCAGCACATTGGCTATCACAAGACCCGGTATTGCTCACGATCTGGTAAGGCTCTTGGTGATGCCTTTTATGGTGACAAAATGGAACCGAAAAAGAGATTTAAAAAAAAGCTTGCCTGCGCCAATTGTCTGAAAAGAAAACTATCAGAAATGATGGTTCCTGCAAAGGAGCATGAAATTCTGAAAAGAATTTGGCCGAGGTTGTTGCAACGAAAGTTCCTGAAAAGGATACGGTCTGAAAAGACAGATCCTGTAAAGGATTCATCTTTAAAACGTAGCTATGAAGTATCTTGATGCTTCCGTATGATCGCATTAAATCAATCAACATATGTCCCTTAAAGAAACAACATGAAATTTCTCAAAAAGTTATGGAAAGTCCCTGGAAAGTTATCAAAAGTTATGAAAACTTATCGAAAGTTAGCAACTAAGTTACCAAAGTTAACATAACTTCTTGTAAGGTGTCCAGCTAAATCATGTCAACTTCTAACCTAAATTGCGTAACTTCTATATATCTTGTCTAACTCCATAAAGTCTCCTAACTTCAGACGATCAGTCTCCGTAAAGAAATTAGTTAAGGCAAAAACAATTAACTAATTTAGGTAAGGGAAAAATAAACTAATAGGTAATTTTTTGCCTAAGATAAGGAATTACCTTTTCGGCAGGAAATTGCCTAACCTGATCTATTGGGTAGTACTGTAGTACTCGTAGTAGTACTCGTAGTAGTAGTCGTAGTAGTAGCCGTAGTAGTCGTAGTAGTCGTAGTCGTAGTAGTCGTAGTAGTCGTAGTAGTCGTAGGTAGATGTACGCAATGTACGCACGACCAGGGCGCGCGTCCGGTCATTTCTCTGCCGGCGCCCGGCTGTCAGGCGTAAGCCTTTAAATATTTATGCATTTAGTTGGTTTTTTCTGCGCAGTCTGCGCAGTACAGATTGTAAGGACCTTGGTCATTCTTTCAACTGGTTTTGAAACAGAATGTTTTGGTAGATTGTGGTTTCAAAGATTTGATTTCTTTGAAATTTAAAATGTTTTTTTCCTGCAATTAGTTTCCATATTTTTCATGAATGCCAAATCAGCTCATGAAGGCAGTTGAGAAAAAAATGCACCTTGAGGGCCTCCAGGTTCCAAGACACACCAGGTTTGGAAAAACATTCTTTAGTTTTTCTTGGCAAAGTTTAGATAGTCTTACCAGCTGTCATGTCAGCTCTGGCACTACTTGCCAACAAAAACGCAATGAAAACAAACCAAACTGATATTTAGGTTTGTGTTTATTTAAATCTGTTTGTGTCTATGTTTTTTAAAGGTACTTAATGCATATGTTCTAATGCTCAACAAATATGAACAGTTTTTATCTTTTCAATTTGTTTTTTCAAGGCAAAACTTATTTATATATATATATATATTCAATTTACTTTATTATCTTTTAAAAATTTTAATGTTTTTATATTTCATTTTCTATTTTTTGAAATTATACTTATTATATCATATATTTTAAATGAATAAACAAATGAATAAAGAATATATCAGATGGTCACCAAACTATATATATAGTTAAATATGTTATATTTCATTTTTCCTTATTTCTTAGTCTCTGTGGAACTGGTGTTTTACCAATTCTACCCTGATCTATATACATGATGGCCTTTTCCAAAACCATCTAATGTACATTTCCCCAACTGGGTCTTTTCCAAAACCCTAGTGGGTCTTTTCCAAAACCTTTTTTTTTGTCCTTTTCCAAAATCCTGTTTGGGTCTTTTCCAAATTCCTTTTAACCCTTTAGGTCTTTTCCAAAACTTGTTTACAAGCTGCACCTGATCATGCTGCCTTTTCCAAGACATTTGTGGTGCCCCCTATGAGCCAGAATATTTCTTCAAGAGATTGGCTCTCATAGAGATGGTTTCTTCTTTGGTCAAGTTGTCCTTTTCCAAGGCTTGCCTGATCTTGCCAATCATGGCTTTGTAGTGTGGGCCCATCTTTTGACTGATCCCCACAATCAGGTGCATCCTGTTTTGGGGATCCACTTGCCTGAGCTTCACCCATGGCTTTCTTTCAGTGCCTTTTCCAAGGCAGCCTTTTCCAAGACTAGCATGCTTCTTGCATGCAGGCCTTCTGAACACAGGCTTGGCATTCTGCTTTGCAGTCTTCCCCCTTGACTTTTCCAAGTCATAGCCCATGGCTGCATGCAGCCTGCTCCCTGGCCTTTGATGGGACACCAGCTGGGTGGGAGAGGAAGCTGGCCTTTTCAAGCCCCTGGCAGCAGAGGGGGATGGTTTTTCCAAACCACTGCCAGCAGAAGGAGATGGCTTTCCCAAACCAGTGGCAGCAGAGGGCGATGGCTTTTCCAAACCCCTGGCAGCAGAAGGAGATGGTTTTTCCAAACCTCTTTTGCCTTTCTTGGCTGCTGGAGACTTGAACATCTCAGGGATACCATCAGACATTCTCACATCACTGTCCCTTGTCACCAGCTGCCTGTTGGCTGTATGTGCTTTTCCAAGCACTTCCTTCTTGCCTGCAGGTGCCTTTCCAGGCACTTCCTCCTCCTTGCGCTGCACTTTGATCTTTTTAAACTTTCAGTCAACGTTTGATACTGCAGCCTGGTCAGCTTGCCAGCTACTACTGTCAAAGTGCTTGTGTCCCTTTGGAGCTTTCTGCAATGGGTTAGCATGCAGTTCAATCGCCTTACCTTCAAGTTGCACCACACTTGCCCACTATGGTCACCCATGTTCAGTGAAGGAACTTCAGCCAACAGAGACAGCATTGCTTGTCTGAGTGGCTGTGGGTGGATCAAGCCACTTGGTTCCAAAGCCACCAGGTCTGACCACAGTGGTTGCAAGTCTAGCAATGCTTTAGGATTTGGGCTAGAGCTTGAGCTCAAGTGCTCATAGCTGCCCAAATTCTTCAGCAAATCCTTGTGCTTTTTCAACCCCGCATCTATCCAGGGTTTGGGTTGGCGCCTGGGCCCTCCCCTACCCTGGGGCATGGTCTTTTCCAAGGCCTGGGGCTGGTCTTTTCCAAAGCCTGGAGCTGGTCTTTTCCAAAACCTGCTTTTCCAAAACCTGCTTTTCCAAGACCTTTGCAAAATTTTAGCCTGAAAGGCTGAGAAAACAAAAGCACACAAAACAAAAGGTTAAAGAGCCAAAAACTGCTGCAGGATCTTGATATTGATATTGATTTTGATTGGATTGGGAAAGGTATCAATATCCGATCAAGAAAGACCAATATGAAAATCAAGATGGTATCAAGAAAAAAGCAATAAACAATATTGATTTGCAACTGCAGACAAGAAAATCAATATCTCAGAGCATCAACATATTGATTGTAATCCATATGCGGTGCTCAGGGCCTATCAAATTCTCTATCTTTTTCATGTTTTTTCTACCTTTCCATCTATCCGCCTGCCTATCTATCTATCTATCTATCTATCTATCTAGCTATCTAGCGTTCTAACCATCTAGTTATCTATTTGTCTATCTGTCTATCTATCTATTTGTGCATCTGTCTATCTATCTGTCTATCTGTCTATGTATCTACCTACCTACCTACCTACCTATTTATCTATCTATCTATCTACCTATCTATCTGTCAGTCTTTCTATCAATCAATCTATCTATCTACCTACGGGCGTGTCATGAATGATGAAATGATAAACCCAGAAACGAACCTACTGGTTGTTGGCCCACATTCTACCTACTAGCAATGAAAACTGTGAACGTGGTGTTCTGGTAGGTTCTGGTACTACTGCCGGGTTACATCGGCTTACTGGCCATCAGGCCATGAGGAGGACATGCTTGAAATTAGAAAGGAACTCAATCAAGCCAAAAATGCCCCTTGGCAGAAAACAATTTATCAATGTTTTGCTGGGAGACTTCAGTAGCAAGTCCCCGACTTGGGGGGGGGCCCTGGTCCCCAACAGCATGCTCCTCGGAGGCTTCATCGCCTCAGTAATTGGTCTGTGTTTGTCTGAAGTCACAAGTCCTACGTGCTCAATTCAATTGGTGTAAAAACACATCTTCGATCATGTTTATTTACTGAGTTTCAACCCTGACGATAGCTTTGTGGACCAAAGGTTATGGATGGCCAGATGACGATTGTCTTTACGTAGTTAATATAAGACGGTCACAGCTACGCATAAGATTATAGAAGGCCAGTCCTGTTTCTAGTTTCTCTATTGACAGTTTGCTTGCCACTTCTTCTTTTTCTGAACGGCACATTCTATAGTAAGAATGACAAGATGAAAACACATGATCACGACTGCGACTGTAACTCAAGAGATGCTCAAGCGCATTCCCTTTGCGCTATGAGGATAGGGAGAAAGCTGACATTGTAGCTTGGCAAAATGGATCAAGATGCGACGCGCAGATCAACCAAATCATCCAAGTCGCGGGGGCATTTTTTCGGATTTCTGCAACTTGGTCCGAGTGCAATCAACAAGCTCCATAGCAGAAACACACAGGTTTTTTGATTTTTTTTGTGTTACGACAGTAGACTTGTTGTTGCACAAGCAAAACTGATGCTAGATGGTGATATGCATGGATATGCACTAACTATTGTGTGATAGTTGTACATCATTGTACCAAGTACAACCAATTCTAGAACTCAACTTGCGTTGAACGTGTATAAGGATGAGGCCCATGCAATCGCTTCACAAGCGATGTCTGCCGACCGTGTCCTGGCGCACTGGGAGCACTGGGAACTGGACTTATAGCTTGAAAGCTCCCAGAAAGTCCGAGGTCATCCGAAGTCATCCGAAGTCCCAAGTCTATTCTTTGCCATGGCAAATACATATATATATATAATTTATATATATATATACATACATATTTGTATGTGTGTGTTTGTGAATATATTATATAGATCCCATTCTTGGCCCTGACCACGCCGACCACGCTCTCACCCCATTTAGACCTTGCCTGTGTTCCATGGGGTCAACATGGGTCAACTGTGCTAGCTTTTACACCCAGGCAAGATCAGAAAAGATTTTACATGTAAATAACATGTATTTTTGAATTTTGATCAACTTGGCAATAATGAAATCAAGTGTATTGTTTTTGCAACACTTCTGTGCAACCCCCAGTCGAAAGTTACTTTTCTCAATCTCTCTCCAGCTCAAGGGCACGCGTCTCCCTCAAGAAAAATGGTGTTGCTTCAGATTGACCATAATTATACCGTTGGGGTAATATATGTATACATATGTATAGACTGCCAGTCTTCTATTTTATTTCATATGGTGCCAGAATTAATCAATAGTTTGATTTGTTGGAACTGCAAAGGCTGCATCGGAAAATCCATCAGTCCCGTACAGTACAGATTCACCATTCCCTCGTTGCTGGCTCAGTGCCACGTAGCTGGCTCAATGCCTCGTTGCTGGCTCAGCGCCTCGTGGCTGGCTCAATTTTTTTGAACGAAAAAAAATTGCGAAACAATTGAGCCAGATACATGCCCTTGAGCCAGCTCGGTATGCCGTCATCATCCCGGCCAATACATATTATGTATTCGTTTTTAGCTTTCACATTCGTTCAGGTTCAGTCCCACATGATTTGTTTAATAGAGATGGTACCCCTGTTGCAGCCCAGAAATTTAGGACTCACGTTTTGGGCCAAATTTGCTTAGACAGCGGCACAGCTTTAAAGTCAAACGCATGGCCCCTTCTGAAATTGAGCCAGCTACATGTTTTGAGCTAACTCGAAAATGAGGAAGATTGTGGATTGCTACATTCAACCAAGAGACAGCTAGGTGCGGCCAGCACAGGAACGAGGAATCCATCCACCATGGAATCCATGGAAATCCCGGGTCACCCAAAAAATTGTTCAACAAATGGTCACAGACCCCAAAAAGCCTGCTTGTCACCAATCAACTCCAACATTTTCTGAGCGTAAACATATGTATACACGTCTGGTTTGTGAGACTACGGCAAAGTTTGGATTTTCCCCGGCAAAGTTAAGGATTTCCACAGCAAAATTTTGGATTTTCAAGTGTGGACCACTCTAGGACCATGCACCCTAGTTGGGTTTTTTGATTTTGTCCGTGCTGCTCCAAAATGTTTCCAATTTGTCACAAGCTGTTTGGCCGAAAAGTGCCATTGGCATGAGGCCAGCACACAGGGTATAGCTCAGTCACAATCTTGTCTTAGAGAATCGTCATGACTTAGCAGAACCGTGCAGAATTCCCCTTGTGTCGCCAAAACATGGCAGCAGGGTGCCAGGAACAGAAAGACAATGAACCAACGTAGTACGTTACAACAATCATGGCAACCCTTCAGAACTACTATGGGATTTGATATAATGTTATTTATTCTTAGCGAAGGGCCATATTCATGTTTTGAATGGTTGAATCACTGCCGCCTCAGCCCCTGGAGGTGGCAAAGTTCGGTCGGTAACAGCAAAGTTCCACAAACCCTTAGGTTTTTTCTTTGCCCATACCTGGACTGCCAGGGAGCTCCTTTTTAAGAACATGCTGCATGGGGATGACTGGCTAACTTACCGTAGGTCCTTGCGAAACAAAAACAGTGGCACGCTTCTGCCAGTTGTTTCTGTGCGTTTTCATCATTTGACCCATGATGATGTACACTTCATTTGTGAAAAAGTGAGGGAATTTGCATGTGGTTTTGGCAGCTTTGAAAACTTTCTCCTGCATGGCCCTTTGTCAGAGAACCAAATCAGCAGGGCTTCCAGTGTAGCAGGGCTATGGGTGGTGAAACACACTTTTTCCACCCGAGCACTGATACAAAACAAGAAATAGCCGTTATGTGCGAAAGTACTTGTCCCGTGGTCATGGCAGATGCCCATTTATAATTAGGGCGGGAAAAACAAATCTTGCTTCCCTTAGGCCCACTTTTCTGCTTAGTTTCAACTTTTTTGGAATGTGTAGAATGAGAAGAGGCCTCGGACGGTGCAAGGTAAATGATGGTGGACACAACGTTTGGGGGTCATTAGGCCATCGTCCTCCGCGGGTGTCTTCGAGTCGGCTATGAACCAGCTAGTTTTTGGCATTGTTCCCGACAGAAGTTTACACAGAAGACAGCGCGGCAACATGATGCAACACGCTTTGTTTTGAAAAGTGTTTGAATGTTTTTGATATGACTGACACATTTCATTACATTTCTGTGAAAGGTAGGTTGATTGAACGCAGTGAAAAACAATAACATTCTGGACAGTTTTGACTGCTGGTGAAAATCGTTCGAGAAAGAAACATTGCAATAAAGAAGCTGAGTAATTAGAAAGTGCAAACCGAAACTGTCAGAAAAAGTGGTTCCGCAGCAGGCTAAAAGTGAGTTTTTTCCTGACTGTCCCGATTTAGGAAAAATGTAATTTGCAACATGATTTGCCTAGCTTTTTGCAACGGGTTCCTCACAAGCGCAAGAATTCTCTCGCTTGGGTGGCAGTTTCTCTGGCTGTGCCAGGTGCCCTGGGTGGGATAAGGTAGGCTTGGGAGTAACACGGAGTAACAATTAGATTAGGAAATGTAGCACTATGTAGCACTCACACGAACCCGCGCCGCGCGCCTTGGTTTCTTTCCGCCCTAGGGAACCTCCATGTCAGCCGGTGTTCTTTCTGGAAGACTTCTTTTTGCATCGCTGGCTTTGAAACAATACAGGAAGTATGTGGCTTATCATCCGTGCGGTGTGTTTGGTGAATGGTGGGTGTGAGGAATCGAAGCGCTGGAGAAGGCCTTAGCATTGAGCACCGCCAAACTAAATGCGGTATATGCTATAGGAGGCGGCGTGGCAGGGCGGGGATTTGTCCCTCCAATCGTTTCCAATCCCTGTGGACGGGGGAACAGGTTTGAACAGCAAGACATCAAACTCCCACAATTGCTGCTTTGTTTGCGGAACTGCTGAGGATGGAAAGTTGCTTGGAAACTCCATTAGTATATAGGCGACGATTGGCGACGATCCAAGTAACATAGGCACATGATGGATCATGTTACTTCGGAACATGTTTGCTTCTCCACTGGGCGGGTTGCGTGTGGTTCCAACACATTCCAATCCAGAATGAGGTGCGCCACTCTCAGGGTTTATCACTAGCATCCGGATTTCATACCTGCAAAATCTTGTCATGTTTGTGCCAAACTGCCACAACGGTGTGTGTGTGTGTTTTCCATTTCAAACAGTTCGATGTAGTTGTCATCACTTTCGGTTGCTTTGAATGAACTGGACTGGACTTCAAAGACGACATGTGCATTTGCGCATAATTTGCGCCCTTCTTGCATTCACCCTGAGCCCCATCACGAGGCATCAGTAGGAGCAGGTTAGGATTACGGACTGCATCATCAATTTGAGCAGTTGCGTAGTAGGCTTAGGAAAAGGGCAAGGCGCACTTGTGCGCCAATGCTGTTGCTGTGTTTGCTCATCGACTTCATTGGGTGGATTCTTTAGGTTGTGATTGAAAGATTGGGCCCCTTTGTTTGACATGTACTTCCATGCCAGTCCGAAAGCCGTTTAAGATTACCCCTGAAGCCTCGAGCAAACTGGAATAATCTAGAATACTTGCAAGCTCATTTGTGTGATTGGAGGCATCGCCCGGAGCAAAGATGTATCTTGGCATGTCAGAGTTTTCGCTCAGATTTCACATAGCACAGCATACTATGCGTGGAAAAGATTGACCCTTTGATCTTCTTTGAGACATTGATGCCACTGATTCTATTTCCCATGGGAGTTTACGGAAGCGAATCCAGCAGCAACGCCATGGAATTTTCATTGGGAACAGGGAGGGCCGACAAGGTACAAGAATGATATACAAGCATACACAAGCAGTATTTGCTGACAAAGTAGTCAAATAACGTCAGAAAATGTTGCCTCTTGAGTTTGCTCTCTGACAATCTCTAACATAGACTGAGGAAAAGGAGAGGGACCTTAGAGCAGAAATCCAGCAGATGGAGCAGGACAAACGCAGCGGTACCTGTCCAGCTGTTGGAAGAGCGTGGGACGAACCAGTACCCGACACATCTCAACATATCTCAACACATCCTCAACCCCTTGGAAGCTACCCCCGAACACACACCATGGACTGGTTTTGAGTTCGACAATCGAGTTCAGGAAGCGCCAATTCTGCAGGGTGCAGCAATTGGTAAGGACCATTGCAAAATTGAGCAGCCGCCAAAACCTCCAAGTGGAGATTTAAAGGGCGTGTAAAGTAAGATGGCTCCGCGAAAGCTAAAACCACGTTCGCGAAAGATCCGCGAAAGCTTTTGCGAAGATTTCCTTCCGCGAAAGCTCGCGAAAGAGACTTTCAAGACTCAAAATCCTGGTTTTAAGTATGTTTGTAGACAGCTTCCTCAGATGTATCTGGATCCATGCGGATACATTATTCACAAATTTCGATAGATGTGACCTGAAATCCGCGAAAGCTTCGCGAAAGCTCCGCGAAAGATCCGCGAAAGCCCTGACTAGCTGGGACGGCCCCCCCCATTTGATAGGAGAGTGGCAGTGCCCACTGAGATCTGGCGCTTGTGGTGTCTGGCTGTGCCCACTGAGATCCGCGGTCGCACAGTGCCCACTAAAATCTGGCGCTCGCGGTTGAGGTCCGGCAGTGCCCACTGAGATCTGGAGCTTGCGTTTGAGGGTGGGGTGGAGGACGAGGAGGTGAAGGAGGAGGAGGCCACCAGATGCAATATCAATCCACATGTTGCCACAGTGATAACTGCTGCAAAACGATGCCCGTTGTGCTTGGAATTAAAGGTTTCAATACGCACTTCACTGTGGAAAACGGGGAATTTGTGTCACATGTTTTCCGCGAAAGCTCGCGAAAGTGAATTTCAGACACATGGATGCCGCGAAAGAAAAACCCTGCATCGCGAAAGGTTCGCGAAAGAGATGGCGAAAGGGAAGATAGAATAGAACACAAGGTAACGGGGTTTCGGCAACCGCTCAATTGATGTTTTGGCCAGTCCCACCTGGTATGGGGGAACTTGGCAGCTTCTGCTCCTAGAACGTCGAGAATTTATCAATGAGTCGATGAGGCACTTTCCAAGGATCAAGATGGCACATGCAATCAAACTATGGATTCCAAGGACCTCAATTTTCGAGCCTTTTTGCCTTTGGATCATTTTTTGGCAAAAATATGCAAAAATAAGATGAGCAAAAGTGTCACTAAATGGATCTGAATCTAGATTGATGTTGCTAACATCCAGCCCACAGTTCGTTGCTGAACGTTTCAGTGGAAGTCCATCAGCAGATTATTTTAAAGCAGACAGGAAGTGACCTTGCACCATGGACTGCGTAGCAGCAAACTGTGGGGTCTTTTAAATTTTACAACAGGCAAAACGGACGCAAAAAGGAGCAGACCCGATTTTCCGCCTCAATGATGGATGGCACAACCCATGCCCCCAATCAACTCTGTCTCATCAAAAAAGTACGGAGACAAGTGGCCATGATGGTGCAATATAATAAAACCCTTTCTGCCAGTTGCTTGGACCTCTCCTCCGGCCATTTTTTCCCCCAAGCCTACTTGGCACGTACATAGCATGCAGAGTAGTTCCTCCCCTGTTTGCTTTCCTTTTGCTTCCTTATATAGTTTCTCCAGTTTTTACTTTCAATGGTGGTTTGGGATGCTGGTAAAGCACTAGCTGCATTGGTCCTTGTTTCTAAAAAGAAACTCCTCATATACCCAACGGGCAGCAACGCAGGACCTCTGACTTTGTATGTCAAAAAGATGCAAAAAAAAAAAGTGATTTGTAGAAAGAGACATAGAAAACGAATCAACTTTTCACAAGACGCGGCAGGTCTACCCGAAATATTCATACATTGCAAAAAGATGCAAAAGGGAAAATCGACCCACATCTGTGGCTTTGTGGAGAGTCCAGAGACATTATGTACACGTACTTGGTCGTGCCTGCATCTTCTAGCTGTTCACTTTCTGCTTTTTCCAAGAAAGTACAAACGTCCGCTGGGTTGATGGCAAAATGCCGTGTTCATTGAAAACTTATATATGTTTTAAATACATATATATATATAATCATCCTAAAGTAGATAGAACCTCTGGAATTTCAAAGAAAAAAAACGGTCCGAAGATAGAATCCCAAAATGGCTCAAAAATCCGGGTCGATGATTGGGAAAAAAATGATCACAAAAGCGGTCATTTAGCTTGTGATCTGGTTGTTTGGGCCTTTGGAATGACCACCAAATGTTGTTATTATGCTGGTGTATAGGTTCTGGCATGTGGTTGTTTGGACCTTTGGAATGACCATGAAAAATGTTATCATGCTGGTGTATTAGGTTCTAGCATGCGAATTTCAGCCCCAAATCTTCCAAATAAATAAAATATCACCACCCCAAAATTTGTACTGTTGGTGTTGGTTCCCAGAAAAATAGATCCTTTGGCAATGGTATTTTTGGCTCCGAGGATGCCCAAATCGTCAAACCCAATGGGTTTGGGACAAATTATCACCACCCAAAATTGACAGTTGATAATTCAAAACGTGCAATTTTGTAATTGCATTGGGGCCCAAATTTGACCCATACCCACTCAGCAACCGTGTGCTTACCAGACCTCCTGGAGATTTTGGCTTTGGACATGGATCAAAACCAGATACTTTAAAAGTCGTCTATAGAATTGGGTGTAATTGGGACAGAAGGTTTTGATCCATCCCCATATTCTTCCATATTCTATCTATGGTATCAACCACTGTGCTGGCCCTTCCCTGCTGTATTCTGCTAACAACGGCAGGTTTCCAAGAACCAAAACATGTGTTATAGGTCCTTTAGTAATGGTATTTTTGGTTCCTGGGATGCCCAAATACTCAAACCCAATAAAGGAATGGGTGTGGGTACAAATGATCACCCCTACAAAATTGATAATTGATAATTGAAGATGTGCAATTTTGCAATTGAGTTGGGGCCCAAATTTGACCCATACCCACTCAGCAGCCGTGTGCCCATCGCACCCCCTGGAGATTTTGAATTTGGACGTCCACTAGAACCATGAAAAGACTGAATATTTGAAGGATGCTTGGAATTAAGCGTGTATTTGTGGTGCGCCCTGCCCCTTCCTCCACATCTACCCATCCAAAGTTCATTCTTGGAGCTGTTTGAAAAGAAACTTTGAAAGGAAAATAGCATGAGAAAAGTTGGAATCCACCATCTTACCATCCAAAGTTCATAATTGCCGGTTTTTGAAAAGAAACAACGAAAGGAAAATGGGATGACAAAAGAAAGAATCCACGATCTTACCATTCAAAGTTCAGTCTTGCAGGTTTTCGACTAGAAAACTGTGAAGGGAAAAGGAGATGAGAAAAGTATAGAAAAGTAGGAATCCAAGATCGAGCATCCAAAGTTCATTTTTGCTAGTGCTGTGCCAGGACAGCTGCGCAAAACTATAGATAGAATATCCACTAGAACTACGTATGAAAAGACTGATTTTTTTGAAGGATGCTTGGAATTAAGCATGAATTTGTGGTGCACCCTGCCCCTTCCTCCACATCTACCCACCCAAGTTTATTCTTGGAGCTGTTTGAAAGGAAACGTTAAAAGGAAAATGGCATTAGAAAAATAGGAATCCAAGAACTTACCATCCGAAGTGGAAATTGCAGGTTTTTGAAAAGAAACAACGAAAGGAAAATGGGATGAGAAAAGAAGGAACCCACGATCTTACCATTCAAAGTTCAGTCTTGCAGGTTTTCGAATAGAAAACTGTGAAAGGAAAAGGAGAGGAGAAAAGTATAGAAAAGTAGGAATCCAAGATCGAGCATCCAAAGTTCTTCCTCCCCAGTGCTGTGCTAGGACAGATGCGCAAAACTATAGATAGAATATCCTCTAGAACTCTAGAACCATGAAAAGACTGAATTTTTTAAGGATGCTTGGAATTATGCATGTATTTGTGGTGAACCCTGCCCCTCCTCCACATCTACCCATCCATACCCATCCAAAATTCATTCTTGGAGCTGTTTGAAAGGAAACGTTAAAAGGAAAATGGCATTAGAAAAATAGGAATCCAAGAACTTACCATCCGAAGTGGAAATTGGCGGTTTTTGAAAAGAAACAACGAAAGGAAAATGGGATGAGAAAAGAAGGAATCCACGATCTTACCATTCAAAGTTCAGTTTTGCAGGCTTTTGAAAAAAAAAACTGTGGAAGGAAAGGAAACGAGAAAAGTACGAATCCAAGATCGAGCATCCAAAGTTCATTTTTGCTAGTGCTGTGCCAGGACAGCTGCGCAAAACTATAGATAGAATATCCACTAGAACTACGTATGAAAAGACTGATTTTTTTGAAGGATGCTTGGAATTAAGCGTGAATTTGTCGTGCACCCTGCCCCTTCCTCCACATCTACCCACCCAAAGTTCATTCTTGGAGCTGTTTGAAAGGAAACGTTAAAAGGAAAATGGCATTAGAAAAATAGGAATCCAAGAACTTACCATCCGAAGTGGAAATTGCCGTTTTTTGAAAAGAAACAACGAAAGGAAACTGGGATGACAAAAGAAGGAATCCACGATCTTACCATTCAAAGTTCAGTCTTGCAGGTTTTCGACTAGAAAACTGTGAAAGGAAAAGGAGAGGAGAAAAGTATAGAAAAGTAGGAACCCAAGATCGACCATCCAAAGTTTTTCCTCCCCAGTGCTGTGCTAGGACAGCTGCGCAAAACTATAGATAGAATATCCTCTAGAACTCTAGAACCATGAAAAGACTGAATTTTTGAAGGATGCTTGGAATTAAGCATGAATTTGTCGTGCACCCTGGCCCTTCCTCCACATCTTTCCACCCAAAGTTCATTCGTGGAGCTTTTTGAAAGGAAACAAAAGGAAAATGGCACTAGAAAAGTAGGAATCCAAGATCTTACCGCCCAAAGTTGAAATTGCAGGTTTTTGAAAAGAAACGACGAAAGGAAAATGGAATGAGAAAAGAAGGAATCCACGATCTTACCATTCAAAGTTCAGTCTTGCAGGTT